TTGGCGGGCAGTAAGGTAGCAAGATTCTCTGGCCGAACTGGGCTTCACACAATTGAAGGTCCTCTAGCCGAACTACGTTTCAGAATGTTTTGGCGTCACGTAGTTTCCGCGTCACGTCGCAGCGCGTGGTGCGTAGCGGTACCCGGCGGTCTACTGGAACGTCATCGTGGCTTTATTTCTATTTTGTGCCCGCCTTGCCCCCCCAAAAAAAATGTTTCGCTCAACGCCAAGCGCAACAAACTTGCCAAAATCCACTCCACACGCACGTCGGAAATCTTTCAACGCCAAATATTCAGAAAAGGCAAATCCGCACAAACATCGCAAGTCGTTCAACAAAATACGATAAATTTACCAAAAATGCAAATCCGCACAAACGTCGCAAATCGTTCAGCGCCACATGAAATAAGTTCTCACAAATTAAAATCGCGGAAGCATCGTAAATCCTAACTCGTTCAACGCCAACGTCGTAAATCGTAACTCGTTCCACATCGCGTCATCCACGCTCGCTCCCCACTATAATTCAAAAACAAAATTCCATGATGAAACAATGAAGTGCATCTCGCAGCCCTTCTTCTTTCCCAATTCGCCGTTGGCCAGTCACTCTCAAAGCAAAACGGGTTCTGCAAAATCGAACGTAGAATCTGCCGCTCATCAGAGCACATTGGTGCGCGCAAGGATCCCTGCGAACTGAACAAAGGCTTTGACAAATCTTGCAAAGCTTTGACAAGTATTGAAAATCCAAATCATCGAACCTGCAACCTTCAAACTTTTAAAGCCTGCGCCCCACCTTGAAGTACAACGGCTCAGGGGCCAACAAGCGCAGCAAGCGTGCTCTTAGCGAGTCCACTCTGGGTGAGCTTCCCATTGCAGGAAACAAGTCGGCCGCCATGTTGACAGAGTAGACTGTACAAAGTAAACATTAAAAGTAGAACCTTGCATCTACAAATTGTGCACGACAACAATTCCCCACGCGCGAGACCGACTGTAGGAATAGGATAGATGAGCGGCGAGCTCTCATATAGGCGTCTGTCTAATATGGTATTGATGGACCAATGATTGTTTCTTGGAGCTCTTTGCAGCGATGCGCAACTTAAAGCCACAGCAATGCAGTTGAGCTGTCAATAGCCCAAAATCAAAGAACAGTAACAAAGACACTGTAGAACATAACTAGGCTTCCTCTTCGCGCATTTGGATCTGACACAAACCTGTGATCCTGTCTAGGAAGCTGACCACTCTACAAGTGCCGGAAACAGGGAGACAAATTGATGTCTGAATCAAAGCTGGGAGACAAATTAATAGACATGTTGCATCGACATCGGAAAAGGGCGGACACCACCAGCGACAGACCTGGAAGACAAATGAATAGACAATGAAAAGAAGTGGGAAACAAATATGACAAATGAAACGACGTGGGAGACAAGCCAGCCGCAAACCCGCGACCACAAGCACCCAGCCTGGGAGACAATGAAAAGAACTGGGAGACAAATGAAAAGAAGTGGGAAAGGAAGTGGGAGACAAGCGGGAACCCGACCACAAGCACCGAGCCTGGGAGACAAACAAATGAAAGGAAAGGAGACAAATGAAAGGAAGGTGCGAGACAAGCCAGCCGGGAACCCGACCACAAGCACCCAGCCTGGGAGACAAAAAATGAAAAGAAGTGGGAGACAAATGACAGGAAGTAGGAGACAAGCCAGCCGGGAACCCTGGGAGACAAATGAAAAGAAGTGGGAGACAAATGAAAGGAAGTGGGAGACAAGCCAGCCGGGAACCCGACCACAAGCACCCAGCCTGGGGAGACAAATGACAAGAACTGGGAGACAAAAGAAAAGAACTGGGAGACAAATGAAAGGAAGTGGGAGACAAGACCGGGAACCCGACCACAAGCACCGAGCTTGGGAGACAAATGAAAAGAACTGGGAGACAAATGAAAGGAAGTGGGAGACAAGCCGGCCGGGAACCCGACCAGACCATCCAGCACCAAGGCGACCATTCTTTAAAGCATTGAGAACCCCTAACAGTAAACTGTTTGGGGAAAAAGACTTCGAAAAAGCAGAGAAAAAGGAAGTAAGGGAGCCCGCGCAGATCGGCGCAAACGAAGCTTAGTTAGCGGATTGCCTGAAAAATTGGAACACGTGTCTACGCGTGAGAATCAGTCTGAGATTGTCCAGTGGACCATGCGGCGTTCAATCAGTACAGTCGAGCATAGACCGATGGTCAGAAGGGGTTCCAACGCAGAACCAATGATCAGGAATGATCCCCCTCACAGGTATGTGGGTTCAGGGCCCGACGAACTGGATCACCGCGGTGGGACGGCGCTGCCGGTCACATTACAATAGGGCTCGCAGGAGCAAAGATAGTTGCGGGATCACCGACGCATTAACACTTTACCTTGTTTTGAACAACACCCAGGATCACAGGAAGAAGAAGACTGAATCTTCAACGCATTAGCACTTTGTTGCGTTAGCCCTTCCAATGGTGTCTGCTCAAAGAATTTGCGAAAAGGAGTCAGATCTGGTGATGTCGGCGCAGGTTTTCCAAAAAGTGTTCCTTTAAATTCCGTATTACCCCAAGCGTTTCACACACGCACACACAAACACGCGCACTCACACACGCCACGCGCGCCACCCCTGTGAGCAAAGGAACGGGCAAAAGAATCAAGAAAGGTAGAGGGTAGAGGCCCCAGCCATGACAAGCATCTACTCAAACGTCCAAGACAGAATAGGAAGGAGGCAAATGGACAAGAAAGATAAAAAGGATAAACGCCGCCAACTATGACAAAAGGCGCCCACGAACGAGAGGAAGCTGTCCCCAGCTATAGTGCTATGGCAAGGGCGTCGACGGACACACCAAAGAGGGAATGGGCAGCAACGGCGTTCTGTGAGGAAGTGAACATGAAACTGAGTTCTTGGCCCGCTATGAACTATGCCTGACCAGACATTCTGTTCCAGTCGAAACCCAGCACCCCAATCTTGACTGACGCTTGCGCAAGGCTCCTACGACCCCTGCGGTTTGCTCTTCGTCTGCTCTGGCCACCGCAGCCAGTTCAATGGGCCACGGAGCACTACTTCGGGCCCACTCTGGGCTCTCAAGCTCGGGCGACAGCAAGCTCGTACGATATGCTGTTTGCCACTTGACTTTCCCTAGGTGGCGTAAGAAGCCTAAAACGTTGGGCGCGCGCAGCGGGGCTTAACCACATAGAGGATGCCCCACCACTCAAAAATGCGTTCCAATTTCAAGACACCAACTCGAACCTCCCACAAAGCGGTCTGGTGCACAAACGACGTCACTTGCAAGTCTGCCGACCTCAGAACCTGAACATATACAGAACATTCGCAACCAAGAGTGCAGGTACACATTCATGGCCAGTCAGCGCTGCCCCTCTCTTGTGCCTGGCTTGGTTGGACAAAGTAGCGTCAGGGATATTTTCTCCCTGCAATGTAATGTAGACAAAAGGTTCAAGAGCCCCAGAACCCAAAAATTACATACGTGCACACGCGCTCACATGCTCTCACGTTCCTACTCGCCCATGTTCACTGCTGTCAAGCAGCGAGGGTTATTGAAGCCCACGAAGGTTTCGCTGTATATCGCGTGAAGCAAACCGAGAGTTTTTCTTTGGCAAACAATCCCATAACTCTTGAGTCTTGAGACGAATCATGTACTGTAGATATGGTTTACGGATTTGGTCGTTGTCGTTTGCTTTAAGCTCTAGAGCGCGAGCGTGTTGTTTCCTCTTTTTTCCCTCTTGCTGCCACTCACTGCTGAGGCATGGAAGGCATTGCAGCGGGCCGTGTGTTGCCTGGAAACGACCCATGCTTTCTTCATGGTCTGCCCAACCATCATTTGCCGCCAAACGTGTCGAATTCTCAGTTGGGGAAGCAGCCGCAGCCAGGCAAGCTTTCGCCACCTCGCCTTGACATCAAGATCAGATGCCGCGACGCAGGAGACGTGGCGCAACATGTCGGGTCAATTCGAGCTCCGCCCTTCGCTGAGGAAATATGTCACAAAAGGTGGCCCTCAGCTGCCTTGAGTTTGTTGCGCGAAGCAAGTGTCGGCTTCTCCGGGTCTAATAATTGATAGTTCAACTTAACCCCCCTTAAAATTGATTGGCTTTTCAATACAGACCTCCCCTTTGTCCCGAAGTGGATCTTATTTGGAGCAGGTCATTAGGTTTGCGAGAACATCAGCAACGCGGACCGTGGGTCAACAAAAACAAACTCTCGGGCAACGGCTCAGCGTGCAGCGTGTCCACTGCTACTGCTCGGATCTGGATTTGCTGCTGCAGCGCGTCGGATGTAGATCTGAAACAGCGTTTTACACCAACCATCCACCAAACACGTTTTACACTAACCCAACCACCGTTTACGCCACACCACGTTTGACGCCAACCACCATTTACGCCCCTGCGCGGTTTACACCGACCACCGTTTACGCCAAACCACGTTTGACACCAACCACCATTTACGCCCCTGCGCGGTTTACACCGACCACCGTTGATGCCAAACCACGTTTTACACGCACGGCCGTTGACACCAAGCCACGGTTTATGCCAACCACCGTTTACACCGCAACGTGCTTTACCCCAAACACTCGCCGGAATTGGATCTTATTTGGAACGGGTCTTTTGGTCTGCGAGAGCATCGGCAACGCGGACCGTGAGTCAACAAATTGTCGGACAACGGCTCAGATATGCAATCACGGCCCCATTCGCGCAGCGCATCCTCTGCTACTGCTCGGATCTGGATTTGCTGCTGCAGTGCGTCGGATGTAGTTCTGCAACAACGTTTTACACCAACCACCGTTTACACCCCTGCGCGGTTTACGCCAACCACCGTTGACGCCAAACCACGTTTTACACGCGCGGCCGTTGACACCAAGCCACAGTTTAAAACACCACAACACGTTCTCTTCCAAACCGTTTACACCAAACCGAAGTTTACACCCACCACCCTTTGCACCAACCGCCGTTTACACCAACCACCGTTTACAGCACATCACAGTTTACACCAGCAGCCATTTACACCAAACAACGGTTTACACCAGGTTTACACCAACCACCGTTTTCACCAAAACACGCCTCGTCCCAAAGTGGATCCAAATCATACGCGCTTGTGGTTTCCCCCCCGTGCACCTTCCTTTCGTGTCTCCCTCTTCTCAAGTTTCTCTATATTTTTCAACAAATTTGGAGTTGTGCACTGTACTGAGCAAAACCACTTGAAGGATGAGTTGGTCTATGTTGACTGCGTTAACATCGGCCAAGTTATGTTGAGCTATGGTGGCTCACCTGGGGTTTGTTTTTTGCGCGTGTGTAGTCATCGAACCAAACCAAAAACATGAGTGATAGTGCAACAGTGCAACAGACAAAGACACGCCAACATTGTGCTTTCTCCTTTGGCAGAGACCAAGGGGTTTTGCATGCTCTTGCCAAACACCCTGCTTCGGCTTTTACCGCCCCGTGCGCTTGGAATTCTTTGTTCGCTTTTGGGCCGAGTTGGATACTGTGTTGACAAGCGCTCGAAACTGATTGCAGGAGTGGCGCAGAATGTGGCTGACCTATGCCAAAGGGCTTTGAGCTAGCAGGAAGCTCTTTGTCTCCAGATCACAGAGCGGAGAGTTAGAGATGGTGGCTTTGCCAATTGCCGCAGCTTTCTTGTAGAGTTTCTTCTGGGGTAGCGATGGTTGGCAGAGTGCAGCAGCTTGCGAAAGCTGCTAGGTCGAAAAAGATTTGGGCATATCCGGGCCAGGTGTTGCACAGGCCCAAAACTACATCCATGCACTGATATCGAAGATGTGACTCTGCTCAACCGTATGCAATGTGCTGCGCGCGAAGCTTGGCGCAGTGACAGCAAAGGGCATTAATTTGCAAGGGTCACTCTCCAATCAAGGGAGATGAGGAAATGTCCTTTAAGTAGATCCTAGGCCCTAGGCACAAGCCTCATTGCGCAATGTCCAAGGCGTACTTTCGCGCAACAAGCAAGGGGCGGCGCAGCAGCAAAAAGGATCCACTCTATCCCAGCAACTTTCCAACTGCGCGATGTGGGGGAAAGGAAACGTGCTCCAGGCATCGGTTCGCAGCGTTGCGCAAGAACATCGAAGACCTATAATTTCTCACATTCCACATCGCACGCGCAAAAGACGATCCAAACTCCAATCTTCGTCTGAACTTGGCAGCGGTGCAGTGTTGGATTTCATTCAAGGCCAAGTCACAAGATTTCATCACACTGCACATCAGGTGCAGTGGCAAGACGACTGCAAACCTGGAAACTTGCACCCCGCCTTTTGGGGATCTACCTGGTAGCTTGTAGACGTCCTATATTCTATTCTCACGCAGAATTGTCCCTTGTGATTTTAGCCTCTATCTATATATCTGCTGATTCCGATCAGGTTAAGTCAAGCGTTTTCCATCCACACTACCTTTGACTAGGGTCCAGTTGTACCCGAACACGTTTGCAGATCTGAGCTTGATCATATATAGTTTTATGATTGGTTGGCGCAGGCAATCATTCAATTCAACTTGCTTATCACAGGAAGTGGCAACTCGCCAATAAACCTGCGCCTGCGAACCGGATGGAATCTTGAAATATTCATTTTGTTCTCCACACACTCAAGAAATTGCGTACTGACTCGATTGCGGAATGCCACTCGCCGACCTAGGTGCCCATATTTCTGAGAAAGTCATGAAAGGGGGTCTGAGCATCTTGGAGGTCCAACAAAGAAGGATTGAAGAGGTCCAATCCAATCTCAAAGTTCGAGGTCGATAGCACGAAACGAGAGGCTGACCCGATATCAGTGTTCAATGCAAACCTCTTCGTTCGGCTGGTACTTGCAGAGTCTAGCAAAGTAGAGGTTAAGACCAAAAAACACAACAAAAAGTGAGAACAAATTCAACGGAATCCCTGTGACTGTGAAAGTTGGAGGGTCAAGAAAAGGCACGATTTTCAGTCATTTTGAGATAGGCGGTCAGTGGAAGCCGTGAATAGGAGAGGAAGTGCGAGGGTATTCATCGACAGAACCAATGGGGCGCGCATGGCGAAGATTGATGTAATGCAGGACAAGGCTTCCAGAGAGAAGGTGCAAGGTACTTCCCAAACCCGAGGGTCGCCAGTCAAAAGCAGGGCCATCCATTGGACCTTTGATCAGTGGACGCCTTCAAGGTCAAGCTCAGAAGCTGGCGTCCGGCCTTCGACTTCCTCGGCCTGATGCTCACTGGACATAGGGCACGCAGCGCTCGAGGCCCCATCCGGCCGTGATCCTGCACATCCCTTCAGGAGTGCAGGCTCTGGCTCAGGCCTGAGAGCAGAGCGACCGGGAGCGAGCCCGCAGGAATACGCGGCCGAGTGGGAGCTTCACTATGAGGAGGCCCGTCCGCGCTGGCCGTGAACGACGTCGGGAGGACATTTCTGTTTTCCAAAGAAGTGGTTTGCCGACCAAGTTCATTGAGAACGTGAAGTTGCAAATTCATGGCGACGTGAGCCGCTTTCAAGAAGCACGAGCTGGCGCTTCGTTTGAGCAGCCGTGGAGGTCACCACCACCAGAAAGTTGGGGTGTCAGCGGGGCACTCCTGAACACCTCGCCTTCAACAAGATCTGTGAGGTCCTGAGGCAGCAGGGTGTGAAGACACCTGCACGAGCCGTCCCGGATCCCTCCTTAGTAGTAAAAGTGTTGGCGCCATCTTGCAAAAGTAGACTCCAAATGCACTTGGAGCCCTATGAGATTCCCGACCATGGTCTCTGGCGCCACCAGCCGGTCTATGGCCTGAACGATGCACCATGCAGTTGCGTGGCAGTTGTTTTTGAACAGTAGCAATGGCATCACAGGCACTTGCATGACAGTTTCTACTATTGGAAGAATGTCAAAGCACGTCAACCATTTCAAGATTTTTGAACCACTCATGCGGACGATTTGGCAGCGGTTGGCGAGCCACCTTCCCTTGATGGCCTTTATGCAAGATGTGCAAAGAGTTTGGCAAGATCACCCGTGTTCGCCTTCCATATGCCCACTATGGCGCACGATATGACAAAACTGCCACTGGTCTCAAAATCGATCAGGCAAGCTTTGCTGAAGGACTTCAGCCAGCGCCAGAACCAAAGGAGCTCACTGGTGAGGAGACCGCTCAGCTCAGATCTGTCCTTCAAGGCCTACTTTGCCTTTACAGCACGAGGTTGGACATCATTGCAGATGTGGTCCCGTTGCAGTCTGCAGGTTGTGCAGGAGCAGTTCGCCACCATCGCCAGTGAAGCGAGCGCGCGTGAAGGACAAGCTTGGGCCTGAAGCCAGCGGCATGGTTGCGCCACGCCTCACAGAGCTCTGGATTCCAGTACACAACCAACTGTCAAGGGGCTGACCGTGTACCAGGAGAATGCTTCGGCCTGCCGTGACTTCTTTGAGCTACGCGCTGGAGCTAGGCATCCCTCAGGACAGCAACGCTTGTACATTTTGGCCTTCAAGGAGGCAAGGGTGTCAGGACGGCTGACCCCCACAGAGTACACGTTGGCCGATGCACTGATGAAGCCAATGACGGCGCGTGTGATACGCAGTTCCTCGAATTCGGTAACATGGAGAGGCGCCACGCGCTACTTCGCCGCCTTCCTCATCCACAAGAACTCACGGGAAGAGGACCTGCGCAAGGATGACGTGGCCATCAAGAAGGAAGCGAACGAAGGAAGGTCGACAATTCTTCCTGCTGCAGTTGGGCTGTTCACGAAGTTCACTACCAGCCGCCGCCCAGAAGGACAACGAAGGAGCTGAGGACACAAAATGGACCTTCTACAGGATCGTGATCTTGTTTGCTTACCTCATTTTGAGGATTGCCGAACCCATGATAGTTTCAATCATCAGGTGGCTCACGGCACCAAAGGCCAAGAAGAAAGAAGCCAAGGAAAGCTCAGATTCAGAAGGAGATCGCTCAAGCATTGGTTCAGTTTCAGCACTGGAACCGAAGTCTGAATCTGGGCATGCCAGACACTACAACCAGAGCAAGGACATCTGACAGCCGGAGACTTCCTGAGAGGGTGTTCTTTTCAATGGCCGGTGAATGCGACCACACAATTGAGAAGTGTGGGAATGTGGGACATGGTGGAGCAGGTGTGACTTCCAAGAGCTTGTTCTTCCATGTAGAGTGTCATGGGTTGCGTCACTATGAACGCAAGCCTTGAGAGCGAAACCAAAACAAACTTTCCAAAGAGCTTAAAACCTCTACAGAACTTTGCTTAACAACTCTTTACCACCTTTTGATGTGGCGTCATGTCCATCGCTAATAGTCGCCAGGTTTGCGGTCTTCCACTGCTGCTTGACTAGTTACTATTTACTAGCTTTCTTCGTTCACAGGTTGCTGTCGCGTAGCTCCCTGTTTGAGTCGATGCAAAAGGCTAGGTCGAGGCGCAAGCCTATCAGGTCAGTCATTGCTTTGGACACTCCATGATGCCAATGATGCAAATAATGTGGCTTCGGGGCTTTGATTTTTTAGCAGTTTATATAACTCCGCTGGGTTTTTTTTGTCATTCTTGGCATCAAAAAATTTTATAAAAAGGACACCTGCATCTTCAGCATGTTGCGCGTTCATGTTTGCAGTTCCTGCTTGCAAAGACGTTTTTGTCAACCTCCGTCTGTTTTCTTTGGCCTCACCGTGATACCAAAAACTCACCAAACGACGAGAGAAAAGCAAACACGCGCGATGACAAAAGGAAGAAAACGATTTGACTTAACACGCGAAGCAACAAAAGATGTGTTTTTGAGATTGGTCGGCGACCTTGAATGGGTCGAACTTGGACGCAGTTTTTGCACTAGCGACCCTGTTTGGCATGACTCGTGATGTTTGAGCCTTCGGGTGGCTTGTCGGCGATTGTTTCTCAAAGACGCGCGTTTTTGTTTGCTTCGTGTGTTGCTGGTTTCCTTCGTGTGTTTGTTTTTGGGGGTCGTTGGCTTGGTCGTTTGCTATGTCGTTCTTGAATTTTTTCCTTGCCTTTCATGATGGTTTTGACTGCAATTGTATCGTTTTCTTGTCTCGTCACTTTCTCTCTCTCTTTCTCTCTCTCTCTCTCTCGCTCTTTCTCTCTTTCGAGTTTTTCCTCATTTTGGAGTTGTGTTTTTCGTCTCCGTACTCTCCTTACAGTGTTTGCGTTTTACTGAGTCTCTCTCTCTCTAAGTTTAGGGTGTCAACTCCAAGCCCAACAAGAATGAAGCCTCGCAAGATGGAACAAGTATGTCAATTTGGCGTAGCTTTAAAAATGCAAAAGGTTACCTTTTTCGGGGTTACCAACGATAATTAGCAGTGGTCTCTTTGACAAGAGCTTCAAGAGAGTAGTCAGGTGTGGTTTTTCCCGAATGCGTAGCGAAGGGTTCCCGTTTATAGTTGGGGGTCTGGGGGTTGGAGCTGTGTTCGCGTGGCTTGCGTCGTGTCGTCGTCTCTCGTCGTCTCTCATCGTCGTCGCGTCTCAAATTTGCTGCCATTGGGGGAAGCTTTTGCAAGTGACTTTGCATGGACGCGTCACGTGTCAGTTTGCGCCGCTAATCCATTGTGATTTGCAGGAGCAGGACATGTCGCGCGAGAAACGTGATGCGTTTCGCTGCACAGGCGCAGCGTTTTGTGAGATCGGCAGATTGCTCCGCAGTTCCATTGGGATTAGCGTTTGGAGAGTCGTGTCTTTGGGGTGTTGGATGTGGCCGTGCCATTGAGATTTGCGTTTCAGGGTGTGGCATCGAAGCTCTGTTTTCGTGACAAGTCTCAGCTGAAATGGCGATTTTGGTGGATGGGAGTGTGCTCTGAACGGGTCGAAATCATTCCAAACGTGTGGTGTGGTGCAAATTTTGTTGAAGCTCACATGCGATGATATTGTCACTTTTCGTGGCAGGCGCAGGACTTCGCGCAGGCTTTGAAGCGTGGAAGTGCGATTCTCGTGGCAGGCGCAGGGAATC